AGTTCTGAAGGCAAAAGGGGGTCCAACCCGTTACTAGCATGGGGTACCTAATAAAGTGGCCGGTCAGTGTATAAAGTCTGAGGGTTCATCCAGAGTTTCCATGGTGTTTATTTTGGAAAAAAGATTGGGTCAGGCTAAATATTTTCTTTTCTTTTCTTAGTTTAATGACCTATAAATCAGACATGGTGACATTTATATGGAAGAAAAACTGTCTCACTGAAATCTGCCTTTTTATGTACACTGAATTTTAAAGACTGATTTTTATTTTTTATACACATTAAATTTCTTACACTGAATTTCTATCTGGTGAAAATTCAGCTGCAAAAATGTTGCCTGCAAATGTTTCGACCTTCAGGTGAAGTAAAGCCAAAGCAATCTGCAGTCGAGCAGCTTCTAACCAATGCAAACACATTCACAGCTGAACTTTTTTGCATTTAAATTTTCACCAGATATAAATTCAGTTTAAGGAATTCAATGTGTAAAAAATCCAGTGTTTGAAATTCTGTGTAAAAAAAGAGGCAGATTTCAATGAGATAGTGTTTCTTCCATACATTTAAAATAGTTCTTCCACCTGAAAAAAATATTCCCCAATGCATTTCTGTCACACAAATACAAACATGTATTTCCATTTCATAGTTTGGCAGCTGAACTTGCTTTATTTCACATATCATTTGTGAATTAAAGCAAGTTCAGCTGCCAAACTGTGTCAATTAGATTTCTGCTCAATAAAGACAGCCTGTAGTGGCTTTAAATGTCCAGCAGGTGTCAGTATTCAGTCAGTTTGTTAACATCTCTATGAACCAGAACTTCATCCGCTCTGATTTCCACTCTCATCAACCGAAAGGCAGTTTGTTTATTTCTTTTATTTTGGATGAAAATGATGCGAACAGAAGAGAAGACGACAAGAGGAGATGTTTGAGAGTTAAATGTAAACAAAGCAGAGTTCTGGAGTCAACAGCCAGACCGTCCTGCTGCTCTAATCCACATGTTTGATGCCACAGATTCTGGGATCCTTCATGAACTGAGGATGTTTGTGGGTCACCGGCATGAAACCTGCAGGTCAAACAAACTATAATTACCATCTGGGATCAGAACCAAGAAGCAAAGTGGATCAAATGGTCACATTTAGAGTCCTGAGCAGAGACGGGTCGGCTGGTCGACCTGCAGCTGCACAGTCATTGCACTCTGCAGACCCACTCCCACAGAGGACACCTACCCAGAGAGTGGGCCTTCTTTATGGCTTTGGACACCTCCCTCTGCTTCTGTCCACATAACCCTGAGGGACACAGAGACACTGAGTGAGAGCGTCCATCACTACTGGCCAGCAGCGGCGGCGGCGGCGGCTCACCTGTGATGTGTCGGCCATAGATCCTGCCTGTGTGAGGAGAGATGAACTGAGACAGCAGCTGAGGAAGGAAGGAGGGAGAACGGGTCAGAAATCAGAAACTAATAAATCAGTTAATGGCTGGACATTCTAGGTAAACAGATCTACACTCAAACCCGGACCGGCCATGGGGAGAGCCAGGAATATTCCCGAAGCGCCGGCCTCGCCACTTAGGCCAGCAGCATGTGAGGACAGGAAGATGATCGGTTTATTTAAAGTAACACCCGCCCCCAACGCTCCGAATCAACCACACAGACAGCAGCGTGTGGAGGAGGGGGTGCGTGACGTGTGTCTGCTGCTGGGTATGCTGGTCTGACAGGTGTTCTGTCAGACCAGCATACCCAG